CTTGATTTCCCAAGAATAGCTCAGTCTTCCCGGCTGTTCCCAAGCTTGTTTAGGCACGGCCTCAGCTGCTTGTTTTCTCTCGAGCTCCGCCGCGACCCTTTGCACGTCCCTGTCATCCATGGGTGAAGCCAGGGGCTTTGGAGCCTCGGAACCACTATAGACTATAGACCAGACAGAAGCCTCGGCATCATCACTAGCCGGTTGACGAGCTTCGCCGTACCACGCTTCCTCAGCCTCCGATCCAAGATCACTCCAGCCACTCACGCCACCGAAAGTGCCGTCCTCAGCTGCCTGGCGATCAAGTTGGTCCCTGGCAAAACTTCCCGCCCTAGACAGCAGATCATCAAGGTGTTGTTGGAACTGAAGATCACCTGATTCGTCCTCCACCAGGACGGGGCTTTCCACACCAAGTTGGCCCTCTAGAAGGGGAGAGCCCTCGCGGGGCCCTGGCTGCAAGAGGACCTCTTCAGCCTGGGATCCTTGCGGAGGTTCCTGGGCCGCCTGACCCCCTGTATCGCAGGGATCTGCCGCAAGGGAATCCATGGCAGCACAAATCGTGGGTCAACAGCTTGAAACGAAAGTTTCGTGAGAAAGGGCAGCCGCAGAAGCGTAGCTTGCATGAACTGGCAAAGCAACATGCGAGACTGCAGGCACAGCACTGAGATTTATAGCACGATGTCCTCCCGAGCTCAAAATCGCACCGGTCCTGGGAAAACAGGCGACCTTGCAAAAGTCGCTGGCACGAGCTAGGGTTAGGGGTCCGCCGGAAGCAGGGGCATCGGCTAAGGCAACTTAGGGGTGGGTCCGAAGCGGCAAAGGCTAGGCCGGCTGCCCGAAGCGATCAACTCCAAGCATGCTCTCGATCCGCTGAAGTCGCCTGACCAATGAGCCTCGGTGCTCGCTGTCGATGATAGATCCAGTAAAACCCTCCAAGTCATCAAGGCGACCTGCGATGGCCGCAAACTGTTCACGGAAGGAATCGAGACTCGATTCCAAAGGGTGCGCGAACGGTGGAGCGCACACAAGAACCGTGGCACCAGATTGCGAGTGCCAGTCACCACAAAGACGCTCCTTCTGCATGTCAGTTAAGGAAGCATAGACAGCTTCCACATCGCGAGGAGAGCAAACCTCACCGCTCTGGCTGAACCCGAGGGAGTCCTCGGAGCAGGTTTCCCAGGCCGAGCGAATCTGCAACTCCGCTTCAGGTTCTTGTGCTGTCTGCATGTCGATGGCAAAGCGATCACATGCGTGAGCGAAGGTCAGCGCCTGAGTGCGGGCGAAGCGACGGTCCGGCTGACTGGCAGTGTGCATCCAGAGGGCCTTCCGGGTCAAGGGGGTTCCGACAGTTAGGGAAAAGCTCATCTCAAATGAAGCGGCGGAACAGATGCCGCAAATGTGCAATGAAAGTTTCAAGCCAGGTGATGCGAGAGGCTGAGCTTGCTGCCTGCCTGTCCAACCAATCCAAGCGATCCTCGGCCACGCGGACACGAGACTCAAGGAGGTCGTGCGAAATCTGCAAGCGAGCAAGATGGCTGGACAGAGCCTCAAAACTGGAAAGGCTGCTAGGATGCTCAGACGCCTCAGACACAGCGAGGCCTGCCGGTGCGGCCTCTCCCATCCGACTGCCCCACCAGGGCAGTCTTGCACGGTGCTCTAAGAGCAACACCGAGGTACGAGGGACTCGGACCTGTTAGACAGAAGTACAGGCCTCTAGAGAGCCCCACACAAAATTTTTCCCAGTGGCCCGAAATGCCACTTGATCTGCAAAACCGTCGGTGCATAGAAACATTCATAACTTCAACATGCATAGAGAACACTTTATGCAAGCGTTGAAGGTTGGGAAAATCATTCGTGTGATAAAAGCATGCTTTCACACAGAAATTAAAAGTTTGAAATCATGCAATCAATCGGTTCCCGGTTGTCGCCATTTTGAGGGTTAAGGATTACCCTCAAATAAAACAACCTTGTAGTTTAAGTGGAAAGAGTCATCCGCAAGCGGAAACGTGTCTTGACTTGCTTCAAACTATGCCAGCTCTTTCTATTCTGGTTTAGAAAAACGTCGCATGGACTTAAACACAACTGAGATTTTCAGACTTCCTCCTGAGTCATCTTGAGAACAGGTTCCAGAACTGCTGGAGTAAAATCCCCGTGGCCCCATCAGCAATGTTGCTGCGATACGCAGCAAGCGTTGTGCGTTTGCTGAAGGTTGCTGACATCTGGAGATGCTGTTGCGCAGGCTCAAAGAAACTGGTTCGACACTTTGAAAATGCCCTGGATTGGAATGTACTTGCAACATTGATGCGGGGGTGCGGGGGACTGCCGTTGCTTTTTCTTGCAGCGACTCATTGCGCGAGCTTTTCCTGAAGTTTCATGAGCACCTTCCGTGCTTGTAGAACTGAAAGACCCAGAAGCTCCTGCAAACTGTTGCTGTCAAGGTCATCAGCATGGAACCATCTACTGCGTTGTCAACAAATCCGGTCGAATATAGATTTTATTCACGTTCCATGTAGCTACACGCCAGATTTCTAATGTTTTCCCCGACAAAACGAGTGTATAGTAGTCCTAGACAGAGATAGTACACGCTCCGCGCTGTGCGACAAAACGGGTGTATAATCCTATACAGAGATAGTAGACGCTCCGCGCTGCGGAAATTCGCGGAGGCTGGTATTCCCTGAACCCACTATACGGCGCTATGGCGGGAAGCAGATTTAGAAGCACGGGTGCTCCCAAAATGGCAGGAAACAGCAGCAATCAGGGCCACTACACGCCTCCCGCTGTGGTGAAATGCAAATTTCCGCGCAGTGAGCTTCGCGGTGAAGCAACCTACTACACGCACCGCGCTGTGGCGGGAAGCAGAGTTCCAAGCACCATTCCTCTGCACTTAAAAGAATCATTCGAATATAAATTTTATTCACGTTCCATGCAGCTACACGCCAGATTTCTGCTGTTTTCCACGACAAAACGGGTGTACAGTAGTAGTCCTACACAGAGATACTACACGCTCCGCACTGCGGAAATTTGCAGAGTTTGCTATTTCCTAAACCCACTACACGCACCACGCTGTGGCGAAAAGCAGATTTAGAAGCACGGGTGCTCCCAAAATGGCAGGAAACAGCAGCAATCAGGGCCACTACACGCCTCCCGCTGTGGTGAAATGCAAATTTCCGCGCAGTGAGCTTCGCGGTGAAGCAACCTACTACACGCACCGCGCTGCGGCGGGAAGCAGATTTCCAAGCACCACTCCCTTGCACTTAAAAGAATCATTCGAATCCGAATATAGATTTTATTCATGTTCCATGTAGCTACACGCCAGATTTCTGCTGTTTTCCACGACAAAACGGGTGTAATAGTCCTACACAGAGATACTACACGCCCCACGCTATTTCCTAAACCCACTACACGCACCACGCTGTGGCGGGAAGCAGATTTAGAAGCAGCAGATTTAGAAGCACGGGTGCTCCCACCACGGCTTTGCAAAGCGCATTTTCATGCAGCAGATGGCTCCGGACATCTTTGTTAAGATTCTATCGGGGATGGGGGCTTGCAGAAAAAAGCCCGTACAGCCTGCGAGTGGCACTGTCAGTTGGATGACTCCATCGGAAACACTCCTACGACTGTGTCTTGGCGGGTTTGGGGATATGAAGTGGGCTTGGGGTGGCGGCTGGCGTCTTCCGGCATTTCTTTGCCAAACAACGTCTTCTCCTGGAGCTTCTTTCGACATTCAGCTTTTGTCCGATTTGACGGGCCCATTTTCGAGACCGAAAAACCCTTCGACAACGTGCGCACCACAGGGGGCCTCCCCTGTTGGCGCTGCGCTTGGTAAGAATGCAGCAAGTTTAACTTGATTGTTTGAAACGATTACGTACTGGGAAGAACCGGTGGCTTGTAAATGGTTAACATACTTTACGAGGTTAGCTATCTATTTACAAACAAATGTAAAGGGTTAAGTTGGTTTAGCTAAAGGGGTTAGCATGGCTTAGAAGAAGGGGTTTTCGAGGAGCTATTAAAGGGGTCGGTATGAACCCTATAACCCTAAAGCCCTGAACCCATACCCTGGAAACCCTGGTCGCAAGAGCTTTTTTTTTCGCTGCTGCAAGCCGTGGAAGAGTCTTTGTCATTGAAAGCCGCAGCCTTTTGAAGAACATTCAGCCCTGATGCTGTTGCCAGGCCGTGGCCTTATATTCATCTTTTTTTCTGCATGCTGGCCATGGCCATATAGTCCTGGAAGAAAGCTCGCTTTCAGGCTTTAGCCGGAGTTTTCAGACTCATCTTCCTCTGCATGCTCCTCCTCTGCATGCTCCTCTTCTTCACCATGGTGGTCTCCTTCATACTCTGGAGAGGACTGCTCGGGCACGGTAGGGAGAGCATGCTCGTCCCCGGACTCCACGATATTCATATATTCGTACTCCCTCCATGCCCTTCTGTAGTTGCTGCGACGGACATCCCTCTCGTTGTACCACTTGATTGTGCATTTTGCACACCAGTGGTTCTGGTGTGCATTTTTCACTCTGCAGCAGCTGGGGGCACCGCATTCCGTGCATGGTCCTGCACACGGGTCCATCCTCAAACGGCGGCTGCAGGCTCCTCCCATTTCACAGGCCTTGGCCCACAGAAACTGCACGTGTGCAGGAGCTTATAAGGATGGCCGTGGCCGCGACGCACTCGCAGTCTACTTTTTCTATCACAGCACTTGAGCCACATGGCGACAGCAGGTCGCATATATATACTGTATGAAAAAGCACCATGTCATGCATGCCCTGCATGTATATATGTATATATACATTATATACAAAAAAAGCTTCGGCTTTTGTCCTCGCATCTGTCTCTCATGCGATCTTGAGTCGGGATGCAGCCATTAACTGCATGGAATTAAATGATCGTGATCTGTGCAGCATGCCGATTAAGTCGGTGATGCACATGCTCATGTGTGCACACACACACATGAGCAGAAGCAAAAAGTTGGTTGGCATTGCATCGCTTTCGAGCCCTGCACAGCTGGCTTAGCAGCCGTTCTTCTTCTTCCACAGCAGAATGGCCTCTCTGTGGGCCTCTCGCTGGCACTCTACCACTTGCTGCTCCGAGAAGCCTTGGTGCTTTGCCCACGTTCCGGCTCGCTTGTACATGCGAGAAGCATAGTTCTTCTGGATGCAGCCGTCCTCCCAGACAATTTGGAACTTCCGCTTTCCATGCGAGCCTTGGGCTTGCTGCTCCTTTGCTTTGCCTTGGCCTTTCTTCGAAGCACTCTTGTCGTTGGACTTTCCTTTGCCTTTGCCGCTGCCCTTCTTCTTTGGATCTTGGCCTTGGCCATTCGTTTTTGTCTTGTTCTTTGCCAAGTTTCCTTGGCCACTCGCTGCAGCTGCAGCGGCCGGCTTCTTCAGAATCCCAGCTTTGCGATCTTTGAGCTTCTTGAACAAAGCTTCGTCCTCGAGATCGTTCTCGGCAGGGAGCGACTCCGTTGCTTCGGGTTCTTCGGCTGGAGGCAGGGCTAGCTGCAAGGCCGACTGTCGCCCTGGCGAGGTCTGCTGTGTCGCAGCCGAAACCGGCTGGGCTGGGTTGCCCAGAGCAAAGCCGACCCCGGCACTGCTGCTGCTCATCTCGCCTCCTGTGATGGAGTTCCGTCCAGGGGTCCTGCAGCAGGTATACAAATGGAAAGGCATGCATGGGCTGTGTATATACAGATGCAAAACAAAGGAAAAGATAAAAGAAGCATGCAGTCCTCCTTTGCAAGATACTTGCGCCTGCAGCAAGCTGCAGCTCCCTTCGCCCACCATCCTGGATGGCATTCTGACCGCAGCCCTGGTCCAGCATTCTTTCCAGTCGCCCGAAGCACTGCTCCATGCGGCTCTGGAACTCGTTCGCATGCTGCTCAGACACGGCGGCCTGGCCATCTGGCCTCGGCAGCCTCTGCTTCTTGTTCTTCTGCAAGAGCTTGGAAGTAGATCGCATCGGAATGTGAGCTAGCCAGATCCCAGCCCTCACGTCTTTGCCCATGGGCGGGTCCTCAGCCTTGTAGGCTCGGTCGAACAGAGCCTTCGGCAAGCTGCTGGGGTCATCGGGATACGTGAGCAGGCCGACCTCAGTCGGCTCTGCATCCGTTTTCACGGATTCCCAAGATCTCTTGAAGACCTGGACCTCTTCGTAGATCTCTTCATATGTCGGCATCTGACTGAGCTCGCCGGCTGCCAGTGCCAAGAGGAAGGCCAGGCCTTTCTTGACCGTCTGTTCTGTGAGGTTCCTCAGGCCCAGCTGCAGATACCTTTTCAGAAGGATTTCCAGCCTTGCCGGTGCTGGCGACTTTTCCAGCATAGACCACTCAGTGACCGTGATGAAGTTTTCCGGCTTCAGCAAGGTCTGCGGCTTGCTTTCCTCCTTTCGCTTGTGAGGCGTATATGTAGTATCTGGCGGCGGTGTTGCAGCCGTGGCCGTTGCCAGAACTTTGGCTTCAACTTTTCCAAGCAACCGTTCTGACAGGGTGCTCTCGAAGCTCAGATCCTGGATCGTCTGCTTCATCTGCATGGCTTGCCCTAACGACAGAGAGCCAAGGCTCTCCAGCCGGGTGCACCAGCTGTTCATCAAAGCATCGACCGAAGCCTTGCTCCCACTTTGTGCCCACTCGGCCATAGGGCTTAACTCGGCCTGCAACTCTCGGGCCATCTCGCCGTGGCGAAATATATATAGCCGTGGCCAGAAAGGAAGAATCCAGAAGCCCCCTCTATAGGAGCCAAGATGCTACAACCCCACTACAGGAGCCAAAATGGCAGCTGCATGCACATACATGGAAAAAGAGCATGGTACAGGTCGCCTGCATGTGTGTGTACGTGCAGATTCCCAAAATCCAGGATGCATGCAGGATCAATCTTTTTCATCGGAGGGAAGCAGGCAGGATGATTTGTCGTCGGCCTCCGGCCATGTCTCTCCATGTGCATGCACACAGAAAGTCTCTGCATGGCAGCAGATGCAGGCTGTCTATGCAGGAGTCATCGCAAAGCAGAGAAGAAATGGAATGCACAACACTGTAGGCTTGCCCTGCCAGTTCCACGAATGCCCAGACAAGGGCACACTCCAAGCAACCGTTCCCTTCAAGCAGCACCGCATCGCCACGACATATCCGTTCCCCGGAGGGCAGCCTGACTTTTTCTGCCACATGAATCACTTGTGCCGAGGTCAGCTCCGGAATGATTTTGCGAAGTGCTGCCGCCTTCCTCCGAGAAGCTGGCTTCGGGTCCTGCAACTGCAGCATCGCTGCGAAACAATCAGCTCTTGCCAAGCAATATAGTTCTTGTCCAAGAACTTCTCGGAGAAGACCCTGCTCGTAAGCAGAAGTCTTCTTGATGTCCTCGGCGAATCTCTTGATAGTGCGATGCTTTCTTTCGTGAGTGTAGCACTGAACCATGAAGCCCCACTTTTCCAGGTGCGAACCGAAGTGGAGAAGCCAATGGAACTTGGAATGCATGCGGTCCTGCCACTCAGCAGCATGCACTGCTTGCAAGAAATCGGAAACGTGCTTTCTCATCTGGCCGGGCGAAACCGCTCCCTCACTGCGAGCTCTCTGGCAGCATGCCACGAGTTTGTCCAGCTGCAAGAAACATTGGATCGCTTGCACTGCCTCAACATTTGCATTTGCCCTGGCGAGCTGCCTGAAGAAACAAGCCAATATTGGAGACAGTGTCAAGCCTTCGGAGGCCGTGCATTTAAAGGTCTCGGCTTCCTTGCATGCTTTTGCTCGGGACTGACCCAGCATCCCTTCGGCCTTGGCCGAGATGTTCCGGGGCAGGGTCCACTTGGCCACGTACTCGTCGGCGATTTCCCAGAGATTGGGAAACTGCTTCTGCAAAGCTTCCAAAACAAGCCAGGTCACTGTCTGGAAGACACCGGAGACCAGCAGGGTGTGCATGCTGTCGTGGCAATACTGTGAGACCGGCCGGACCAGCCATCGTTGATCCTCTTGTTGCAGCAGGGAACAACTATTATAAGTCCAGCCGGTGGCTTGCTGCCACGTGCTGAAATCTGCAGCATTCAGAAGCATCTTCTTTTCTGCCAGTTTAGCCATGGCCTCGTGGATGGATTGGTCGGTCGCAAGCGAAAGCTTACTTTCTCGGATCTCAGAGGAACCGACCACGGGGAGCCCGCTGCTGTGCAGGATATCACATCGTTGTGCTATTACATTCCTGCACAGCATGCACATGCGGGTGCCAGCATCCCCCTTGCAGCTCCATAGAGCTTTATGGGCACCACCGTCTTGAACGATCATTGACAAAACCACCCGGAAGAGGACGGGCGGACCTCCTGGTCGCTGCAACGATATGCACCCGTGCTCCAAATGGTTGGCCGGCCGCATGAATATGTCTCGCAGGATTTTCGAGATCCATTGAGAGACACCTGCTTCGGCCTTGGCCATCAGGCTGGATCGGAGCAGTCCTATGCATAGCCACGACTCCTCGTGCTGCAATGCATAGCTTCCAAGTTCTACGAACGAGGCATAGCAAGCCCAGATTTTTCTCTTCGTCTGGACTGCCAAAGGATTACCCGGCACGATCTCGTCCGTATAGAGGATCAGCCGCCATGCCGAGCTGGGGCTCGGAGGATTCTTGTCGATGCACGCCCAAAAATATTGGGCGAAGTTGCTGTCGGCATCCGAGATAGCAGCTTGCAGCAGAGCCCAAAAATCGACACTGGGTATCTGCAGCTCTGCACCATCTGTCTGCAAAAGTGACAGACGATTGAGGATCCTATTCTCTTTCAGGGGTTGCCAGGCAGCCTCGGCTATATGTTTTCTTTGTGTGAGTTCCGGGACACCCTCGTCCCGCAGAACTTTGCAAACTTCGGACAAAGCCGAGGCTGTGAGATGGGGCAATTTCCTTCTCAGAGCATTCACCTTCTGAAGCTTCGCTGGTCTTTCAGCAAAAGCATCGGTGCTGCTGGAGGCCATGGCCCTATATCACCACGGCACCGCACCAACAGCAAATGCCGGAACATCTCCGTGGAGAGTTCCTTCTTCTCCCTGTGCCTGCAGCAGCAAGCAGCCACATACACGCCTCCGTGGAGGCTTCCACACGCCTCCGTGGAGGCTCCCACACGCCTCCGTGGAGGCTTCCACACGCCTCCGTGGAGGCTTCTCGCATCCTTGGATGCTGGGTCTCCATGGCAACAACAATCCAAGCTACAGGACGGGTGACACAACAAATGGCCCCAGGAAGGGGTGCCTGTCTGCGAACACAACTGCACCAAACCTTGTCTGTGCTCGACTCTGGGCATCTGTATGCATGCTGCACGGCTGCTTGGGCCCTGCTTTCCGCTGCTCAGACAACACATTTCGGCAGGCCCACAAAACCCTCAAAATATGATATAGAAAAAACTATATCATATGAAAACAAAGTCAATCATATGATATAGTAGAAACTATATCATATGAGGCCAAAATATTACATATGATATAGAAAAAACTATATCATATGATATCTGGCCCCACAGACTTATATGATATAGTAGAAACTATATCATATGGCAAGCGATGCCATCATATGATATAGAATATGCTATATCATATGGTTTCACTTTCAATACATATGATATAGAAAAAACTATATCATATTTTCTACGTTAGAATAAGGTTCCAATCTTAAGGATAACCGAAATTTATTCTTAAAAAAAAACCCCTAAACCCTAAACCCTAGAAGAGAAAAAAGCGCGGAAACACTCTTTTTTTCACCAGACGGCAGCCGGCACTCTGGTTTTTCGGAAGACGGCAGGCGGCTGCCGAGCTAGTACCGCTGCCGAAGCTCCTGGCAGGCGATTTGGAAAAGGCTCGTGATCACTTTCCCGTAGGAGCTCCCAGACCCTCCTTCCGGATCGTCCGGGTCCTTCTTGTCCGGCATTGGGACGTGATCATCGTCCCGTACCGGCGACTCCTGTCGCTTACGTTTGGCCTTAGCCTTGCTGCCCTTAGCCTTGCTGCCCTTCTTCTTGTCCTGGCCGGTCTTGCCAGCCGTAGCTGCAGGCAAAAGCTTCACCGGCTTTCGATCCTCTTTGGCATCCTCGGGCTCAATCAGGGAGATTGTCTCTCCTGCCCCCGGCTTTTTTCTCTTCTTCGTGCCCTTAGCCTGCTCAGGACGGCCCTTCTCAGCTTCCGTATGGGCCTTGGCCCCCGAGGGGCCGGAGCCGCCTCTCACATCACCATAGCCATATCCCTGGCCCTTGTCGCCATATCCCTGGCCCTTGTCGCCATATCCATGGCCCTTGTTGCCGGAATCCCGCCGCACCTCCCACCTTGGGACTTCGGATTCCTCTTCGCTCTCCTCTTCCCGGGAGGGCTGCCAGTGCTCCTGGAACCGGCGCTTTGCCCGGCCTGCAGCAGCCTCCTTGCTGAGCCCTTGGGCTATGTATTTCCAAGTTCGGTGATACACCGACAATCGGTGCTGGCGACGGGCGGCCGCATGCTCCTGTATCCACCTCCAGCAAATGGGGCACTTTTTGGACGGGCCCTTGGGCCCGTCCGAAGGCTTGTTGTCCTTCTTCTCATCTGCTGCCTTCTCATTTGCCCCCTTCAATTTTTCATCCACCTCCTTGTCCTTTTTCTCTGATCTCTCTCGTTCGCTTTTCTTTTCCTTCTTCTTCTCTTTTTTATCCTTCTTTCCCTTTTTTTTATCCTTCTTTTCCTTTCTGGCCTGCTCTTCTTCTGCCCAGGACTGGAGAGCTGCCTGGGATGCCGCGACCCTGGCTGTTGCAAGCTTTCTCTCCAGCCTCTGCCTGCCGGCGGCACTTATCGGCCATTCAACAGTCTTCTCATCCAGAGAAGGGACTCTGGGCTTCGAGGCCGCAGCCTCCGAGGCCGCCTCCTTTGGCTTCGAGGCCGTAGCCTCCTCCGGCTCCTCCTCCGGATCCTTTTCTTCGTCCTCGGACTCAGTTGCCTCCTCGGAGGCCACAGTTTCCTCCTCAAAGTTCTCCTCCTCCTCTTTCTTGTTCTCGTTCTCCTCTGGCTTTTTGTTGCCATCCTCCTCCTTTTTCTTTTGGTCCTCGGACTCTTCGTGAGATCTCGACCGTGGTCGAGGATCTCGTCGTTCTTCTCTATCCTCTGAGCTCGAGCTCCTCCTCCTTCTATCCTGGTCGCGGTGCTTGGGCATGGCCGACGACTTCGCCTGGCCAGGACAAAAAAAGGGTTTATAGAGGATCGGGGAGGGTATAGGGTTTAGGGAAGATCCCTTAAGCCAGACTCTTTTTAGCACATGTATATATATATATATACATATAGTATTTGGTGCATGCCGTGGCATGCACCCACGAGGAAACCGTGGTCTCCTCTCCCAAAGCAAAGCAAACCGTGGTCTGCTTGCTTTGCATGCTTGCCAGCAGATGCAAACAAACCTTGGTCTGCCTGCATTCTGCCGGCCAGCACGGTTGCCGAAAAGCAACCCATGCATGCATCACTGACTAAGCAAACCGTAGTCTGCTAGCCAGCTCTGCAGGAGACCGTGGTCTCCTCTCACAGACAGATGGCAAACCGTGGTCCACCACAATTATAAGGAGACCGTAGTCTCCCGGCTTTGTCCAGGAAACCGCAGTCTCCCGGGCTGCCTATAGTCTATATAGTTACATATCTATATCTGTATATATGTTTCGTTTGAAAGAAACTTAAAAGGATCCCTTGCCTGGCCTCG